GCCTAGGTAGAAAAAAAAAGAATGTGAAATATAAATCTTAAACAAAAGTTTGCATATTTCAGATGAAACTCATTACGGCAGCACCTCGTTATCTGGAAACTGTCCTGCTGTTCTCGGCTGCGTTCGCGCCGGTGCTCGCAGCGGACATGATGGCGAGCGAGGCGCAGAAAATAAAAGTCACTCTCAACAACATTCTACAGACAGACGACTCCCTGCGTAAGAGCTATTTGGTCACAGTACTCAGCTGCATACACATTAACATATCTGTCATTAACATTCAATAACTAGAAGTAATTAATTGATTATCACCTCACGGACACTCACATACTACGGGGCGTTTAGGAATGATGGCGTCTCAAATCTGTGGAACCGCCGCGACAATTATGTATTACATACGTTTTAATAATAATAATAATAATTAATAACGTTTTCATTTAGAAAATCACCTCAGTTTTTCTTCTTTTTCTTCACCTTACCCCACTAGAGGAGGTCGGCACAGCTATTTTTTCTCTTCCATTCTCTTCTATCAGCCGTCATCTCAGCACTCACTCCTTTCTCTCTCATATCGTCATTCACACACTCCATCCTTGTCTTCTTCGGTCGACCTCTTCCCCCTCTACCTTGCACTACCATTTCTATACATCTTCTAGTTACATGCATCTTCAACATTCGCATCTCTGCCGCATGCACTCCTTTTTCATGCTTTTCTTTCGTCGCCCAACATTCAGATGCACACAGCACGACTGGTCTAATGATCGCTTTGTAAATTTTTTCCTTGAGCTGAAGGGGCATTCTGTCGGTTTGTTACGTCCCGGTCTATGTTCTCGTCGTTCTGTAGTATGGAGCCGAGGTACTTGAAGTCGGAGCAGACTGGCAGGTATACACCATCTAAGGCGATTGTCGTGAAGTCTGAAGAACCACCAAAATCACAAAACATGTGCTCGGTTTTTGTTCGACTGATCTTTCCAAATCGCTTTTTCCAAATCAACGTACCTTAATCAAAAAAACGTACCTTAACTTTAATCGTTAATCATTTGTTGTTCTATATCTGACTTGCTGTTGCTTGACATTGTATTAACGTTTCTTCTTTTCTTCTTTTTGATTTAACATGAAATTTTTAGACATTTTTATTAATATTTCAACAAATAGTACTGTTTTTTTTATTATTATTATTGTATTCCATTTTCGAGCCGATGAATTACCAATGCTATGTACGCCATTGTTGTCACATGCATCAGGCCATAAATTAAATAGTTTAAATTTATTTTCAATGTTAGATGTTTGTGATGTGGCAGTACTTATTTAAATAAATTAAATAAATTAAAATTAAAAATGAAATCAACAAACACCATGTGCACATGTTTACTTGCACGGCGGTATTTTTCGCACAACTGGTGCAGTCTGGTGCACTACGTCTCGGCATGAGTTGTTATTTATTTAAAATTACATTCATTGCATATGTTTACTTAACTTTGTTTCCTTGCTGTTTGTCAACTTTAGTGGGGCTTCATTGAAATTGCTGTTTTATTTATTAGAGGTAAATATAATTATTACTTGAACATAGTCTATAGTTGAAATCTGTCAAAAACTAGGTTGTAGAGCGAGCCAATATGTAAGACATAATAATATGCACCTACGCTCGAAAATAAGGGAAAGTTGTGGAATGGACTTTGGTTTGATGACGTCAGTATCGCCTCACAGGTCAACCTCTGACAATTCCGTAGAGTGATTCCCATGATAGGATCCCTTACAATAAGTCGGTTGTTGACTGATAGTGATGAGTACTTTTCTGTTCAGTGGAAGATGATCGTCGCAAAGTGAAACAGTTCGCGGGGTACGTCTCGGCTCGGCCGTTCCGGCTCCGCGCGTGTCGGGTGCTCTCGCTGGACTGCACACTCCCCGTGACCGTGCTCAGCATCTGCGTCACCTACCTCATCGTGGTCGTGCAGTTCATGCATCTCTACTGATCTCTGCTCTGCTGCGCCGTGCTATGGCCCGCGTGGAGTAAGTCGGCGCGTCCGTACTGTGTCCAAGTCTCACATTGTTTTATTATATGTCTGATTTGTTAAATTTTCGCACAGAAATCATAAATGCCACTACTCACTTCTACGCTAATCTATACAGACAGTCAGACACACAAAATCAAAAATAGTTTCCTATAGATACACAGATATCTCTCCAACACACCAGTTTACAGAAAATTAAATATTGAAACAAATAACGAGACTTAAGCCAGGAAAAAGCCGAGGTCCAGATGGAATCACCAATGAATATATTAAGGTTGCGAAGACTCTACTACTGACACCAATTACTATACTATGGAATAAAATACTTGGCGAAAAAGCCACTATACAAAAAAAGGGCGACCCAGCTGATATAGGCAACTACCGTCCTATAAGCCTGCCTTTTGTTTTTATATAATGTCTTTTGCCATATAATGCCTTTTGTTTTTATAAACTTTTTGCGTCCTGTCTACTTGAAAGAATAGCCCCAGTCATTGATGCTCACCAACCGATCGAACAAGTCGGATTCAGAACTTCATATCCAAGTGGTTGAACATGTGATAGAAAAATATTCAGAATTCATTAAACCCCTGTATTTAGCGTTCATCGACTACAAAAAAGCTTTTGCTTCAATGTCACACGAGAGCATCCGGAACCGCTGAAACCACTAAACAAAAATGAAAATTATATAAATATCCAAAAAAATATTTACTCTAACAGCACAAGTAGAGCTAAACTGGGCCGAGTAGGCGAAGTAATCAACATAAAGAGAGGTGTCCGGCAAGGAGACCCCATCTCACCAAAATTATTCATAGCCGTTTTACAATACGTAATGGGAGAGCCGCCATAGTCCAATCAAGGTATTATTATAAATGGTAAATTTTTAAGTCATCTTAGATTTGCCGAGGACATATTTTATTTTCGGAAACCCCTCATCAATTAAACATAATGGTAAATTAATTAAGCCAGGCTAGTATATAAACTGGCATTCCTTGGTGGAGGCTTTGGTAATGGATAATTAAAACAAATAAAATTAAACTAATTACAAAATAGAATTTATAATTACAAACTAAATTCATCTAGTGTCATAAATATAATTGAATTATAGGTTAATAAGTTACCAATGGTCATCGTTTAATGTGTACTATGCGTGGAAATAAATAAAGCATTATTATAAATTTTATTTTTATTTTTTTTGTTAAATTTTGCATCTTAATGGACACCCAATATTATTCATATTTCGATTAAAAGTAACAATATTTAAAAGTAGTTGTTATCTTTGGTACAGTCACCTGGTAGCTTTTCTGGAAAATGTTCTGCGCGTTTTAGGAGTTGGTAATAATACTTTTATATGTAGGGACACTTAAGCGTTATGTTAAGGATACTCATGTAATGATTGCATTACTGTACGCCAGTTGCGCAGCGCCGCGCCGCGCCGGTCTACGTGTAAGCACAAAGGCAATAAAGGGCGTTTTCATTTTATTATAGATATAACCCAAAAATATATACGTATAACTATCTTTTCGTTTGCGATTATTTGGATTTTAATCAAATCCTATAAACTGTTTAGTTAGTGGTTAGTACCACTAGACTAGAGCGCGTTCACAAACTGCAGACTTGTGCAGACCCCATGTGCTCCTTGGCTCTAACCGAAATGTATCTCTTAGTGTGTCCTGTGTATGAGAGCCTACAGCCACAGCACAGCTCGTAGCCGCACGCCTCAATATGTCGACAGTCTAGTGTGGACTTGCCCCTTGGCGTACGACAGGAACACTGGAACCCATCCCACTGTGGCTGGTTTTGGTTTGTGATGATTGCGACCAGGGAACTCCAAATTGTTCATACTTAAAACGCGCTTCATTTTTGACGTCTAAGTTACATTTGATTTCTTAATGGAATTTTTCTTTAATTTTTTTAAGATATGAAGTTTTTGTTCTGCAAAAACAACACAATATATTTATGAGATAACGCACGCAAAAGGAATGATACAGAGCACCGCAATAGGAAGGGTTGATATAGCGGCCACCCAGTCACAATCAACAGCCGCGGGTTAGGCCAGCCAGCCATGCACCCAGAAGTGGTACCATCAGTCAGATTTTATTGTTAGACAATTTAGACGTGTCCAACAGATGCAGTAAAATAACTGCTATTTTAAACACTCCCGCGTGGCTCCCTGAAACTCAAGTAGCTACTTTTTTTTTTTTTTCTGGTCGGGGTAAGAATCTCCTGCGAGGTCCCTGCGCCTAGGGGGCGCGTGGGGTATGTGGGACTCAACGATCTGCAAGGTGTTGGGAGCAGACCGCGGGCCCAAGGAATTTTAGGGCCCACCTACTAAACGACTCCCCTGCACTCTTATACCCGACGTCTGATCTCCGTCCGGGGTCAAAACCCGGTCAGAGTAGGGGGGTTCCCGCGGTCAACACTTCAACCAGACACGCGGTGCCACCCCGAGGACGCCCGACCGACGGGTCGTCGAGGCGATAGTCGATGACCAACGACGTCGGTCTCCGCGGTACGGCGGCCCTACCAGGCCGCCCGGGCGATGCCGCTGATGTTCCGGGATACCCCGCTGGGCCAGAACGAGCCTGCCGGGTCGGAACGCGGGTTGCTTTTCCACAGAATGTTCGACGACGACAGCGACGACGGGAATGCGGGCCGCATCGCAGTCTGCAGCCGCCGACTTGTCGTCCCGTCCTCTTAGTGCCAGCGCGCTAGAGTGACGGTAGCGTGCGGCGTAGCCTCAACCCCCTTAAGTCACCCCGTGACCATCACCGGGAGGAGACTGCCTGCTCATAGGGGCCAAAGCTGGACAAACGCCCTCCTCCGGCCCCCGGCTCGGCGGCGGCGGCACGGCGCCCAGAGGGAAGAAGAGCTCTCCCTCTCCCGTTCCACCGCCTCCTTCTGCGAGATGGTGGACTCGCAGACTGTTCATGTCTCAACTCCGTTAACCATGAGTCTCTTTTTTTGGAAATCGGTTAAAAAGAAAAGAACATATTATATATTACTAAGCAATATTTTTATTAGGTCACAAGGTCTCAAGGCCAGACGATGCTCTCAATCCAGGGCTTGTAGGGCTCGACGCGCGTGTAGAGGCCGGCGCCCGCGTCGCCACACGCCACGCCTGATGACGTCACGCCAAACACAGCCCTGGCGCAGCCCGCCTCGCTCTCGTGCAGGATCAAGGGACCGCCGCTGTCACCCTGTCACAACACGTTATCATATGAGACAACTCAATCGTGCATCTGGACTATTCAAGTTATGAGAACAAAGGTAACCTCGCAAGTGTCGTGCGGTGTGTCGTGGTCTCCGTAGCACATCTGCGTGCTGTTGTCGAACCCGTCGAGCAGGTGCCGGTGCTCAGGATATTGCGTCAAGCACTCCTCAGTGGTGAACTCGCTCACTTCGACCTAGTACAGAATGACCACATTCAATTAATTTATAAAGCAAGCTCGCTTTTCAGCCTAAATGCCGTGAGTGCGAGTAACCTATCAGTGTCTTGATTGGTAATCAAGAGAGCAAAAGAGTATAACCGAACTTTCAGTATCACTTGAAAATTGCAAAAATAGGGTTGGGGGTGGCATGTTGGGGTTGTCCCCAGATAGAAGAATTACCACTGCAATTCGACTTACCGCTAGTAATTAGCATCAGAATTAGAGGGATAAAAATAGAGAAAACTAGATTGCGGTTGCGGCTAGATGTAGCAGCGTTGCAGCGTTGCAGCGTTGCAGCGTTGTGTATCGCTGTGTAGCTGGATCGAGGAAATGAAAAACTTAAAAGTAAACAAGACTGTACAAGTATTTACGCCGCGATTGCGATTGCGAATGGTTTATTAACATCACCAAAGCAAAGCTATAAGTAGGTCTAACCATAATTTGAAGCCCTGCGATGTATACGGAAATGAAAACGACTTCATAACTTGTCAGGCTACGCTGACATTGTCATAGTCTCTCAGGGCTATTAGCGTAGGTAGGAAAAAATTTAATTAATATCTAATTTTAAAAGAATCCTAGCGATGAAATCACTTCCAATCGCCATCGTAACTTCTGTAACGACCTCATTCGGAACCTCAAGCTGGAGTTTGTGATTTGACAGATCACTGATGGTAAAGGAAGTCCAAAGAGATTATGGTAAACATTGAAAAGCTTTTGTCCTTTATTTGGTTTATTGGTTCAGAACAAAGAACCTACTGAGCTGGTTACAGCTTAATTTAAGTCAGACACTAGTGCAGGGCTTCAGTGTTGTCATATCTATTTATTCTATTAATGGAATTCAGGTCACTGAAGAGTACCTTTTCATCTTAAGCTAAGCGTATCTTTGCTCCAGTAAATATTTATAATTAAAACCTGATCTTTACGAGGACATAGAATAATGATGGGTCTGTGTAATGAGAAAGCACTAAGATTAATGATATTTTTAATCAAGACATTGAAAGTTGCAATTTTAGTTCCACTATTCTACATTATCAAATTAAGCCTGTCTAGCGGAGAATTTCTTGAAGATTGTAAATTTTTCTCTGTTTATCCAGCACATAAAGTAGGTTTTGGGGATACACCTGATAATTAAAAACATAATATATCTATATTGGGTACCTCTTCTAAAATTCTTGAGAGGCTAGTTAACAAAGAAAATTGCGCGAATCTTTCGGTCTGTTATCGCTCAGACAGCTCAGTTTCAGACAAAACAAGTCGTCTAACGATGCATTCACTGTCCTATAATTCATTGTGTCCCCGTATTTCATCCCCGACAAGCAGCTTGGTGTGTCACAGGGTGGGGAGTATCTGGAACAGCCCACAGAAAGCAAATTTTGATGTTGCACGGGGTAGCATTTTTGGACCTAGCTTATTCATTTTGTACATTAAGGATGTACATCAAATAAGAAATTAAATTAAACCACTTGTTGTTTGTTATGATCACACCACTGAGATATTTTCTGGAAATTTTTGGAGTGGTGCTGTTGCTTATGTGAAGGATGAGATGAGAGAGAATAAATAGTGAGAAGACTAAATATTTCATAAGAAACTCACACCGATGTTGTGCTAACCAACGATTAAGTCTACAATTAAGTTACATAAATGCCGAGAAAAGAAGGTTGCATCCATAATAGTTGTACCCATATTAACAGGTCTGAGAAAATAAGAGGAAGTAAGTGAAGTCAAAGCGTTTATAGACGGTTAATAAAATTGTAAGCACCGTGATGCGTCGCCCTGCTTGGTTCTGTATGCTGACGTTGGTCTATCAATCACTGTGTCAGTCTTTGATATCATGCTGTATAGTTATGTGGAGGAGTGGTCCCTTTTTTTGAGCAGGATGCGTCATACATGTAGTTTCCGCACCGAGAGGAAGCGCAGGGTATGTGGGTCTTTACAGTTCGCAGATTATGGAAGTGGACCGCTGCCCCAAGGATGTTATTAGGGCCCTACCCACCAAAGGACTCCTCTTGCACTCTCATCCGGTGACAACAGCAACGGCGCCGACCACACTGCATACCACATCCGCCATCGCATCATCTCGTCCTTCTGGTGCTAGCGCGCTACAGTGGCGGTAGCATGAGTCGCAGCTTCGACCCACTCAGGTCACCCCGTGACCATCATCATCACATCGGGAGGTGACTGTCACTGGTAACTCACAGGGGCTGGAGTTGCACGAACGTCCTCCGTCAACTCTCGGCTCGGCAAGAGGGAAGGCGGCACGGCCCCGGGGGGAAGAGGGCGCCGAGGTGCAAGTTACAGGCCAAGCAGCCGTGTCCCGTGAGAACCTCCATCGCCCGAAAGGTGAGACGTCCTAAGTCGGGATCCACCAAGTCCAGGAGGACGAGCCGAACGCGTCAACAATCCAAGCAATTCATTACGCGTAGCGGGAGAGCTCCCAAGACAACCTAAAAGAGCTTAAAATAATATTCTCAAAGTGACTTAAGGTGTGTCTATATGTATAATATGTAGGTACCTTCTGCAGAACATCGGCCAAGCGTTCCCGCGGCCCCAAGTAGCCCCAGCCCAGTGCCAGAGCTCGTGTTGGGTCAATTCTCTTACTGTTCACACCGGAGTACAAACACGCGGGCACTACGTTCACGTTGAATATTATTCTAGAACATAGGGTCATCGTCAATCATGGCAGCAAATTTCGACAGCGTCGCTTTTCATGGAAATGGTCAAAGATTTTAGATTTTTCACTTCTGGGTTTAATTTTAGATTTATTATATGCTTCCTACTCAACAAAACCTGTATTTATGTACCTGTGTGTATGTATAAAATTCAATAAGTATGTCTTTCAGTCTGTAGTTGTGGCAGGTCAGGAAACCTTATTTTGGGACCAGATGACCTATAAAATTTGCCTCGATAATTTATTTATTATCTTATTCAGGTAATAAATCAGGTATGTAAATCACTACCATCCACGTTAAATTTTGGTAAAACTTAAAATAATTATAATAAAAAAAATTAAACGGNGTGTATGTATAAAATTCAATAAGTATGTCTTTCAGTCTGTAGTTGTGGCAGGTCAGGAAACCTTATTTTGGGACCAGATGACCTATAAAATTTGCCTCGATAATTTATTTATTATCTTATTCAGGTAATAAATCAGGTATGTAAATCACTACCATCCACGTTAAATTTTGGTAAAACTTAAAATAATTATAATAAAAAAAATTAAACGGTTTTACCGGAACGCTTGATTTTAGTGTCGAAAAAAATGTCGTACTGGTCTTGTGTGAAATGAAAAGTGAAATCAATAACCTAGGAATACAGCTATATAATTGATTTTTTATTTTTTTTTGGTCTACTCGTCCACAGTACGTCAGGCGACGACGGCCACGCGGACCGCTTCCCATCTTCCTGGTGTCAGCGCGCTAGTGACGGTAGCGTGCAGCACAGCCTCGACCCCCCTAGGTTACCCTGTGACAATGACCTTGAGGAGACTGCCTTCAGTGTCAGACTCTCTGACCTCTCTCTCCTCGGACCCCCGGCTAGGCGGCGGCGGCGCGGCACCGATTGGGAGAAAGAAGTCTTCGTCCCATTCGGCCGCCAAAACGCCGCTAAATTATGTCTATGAACTAAAGTCCATAAACATTTTTTTTATTATGTAGTGAGGTGAATGATCTACCAGCCCACCTGAAGGGTGGTAATTATCGTGGCCCATAGACATATACGCCATTCATTACGCCCTACGATCACAAGTACACGTGCTGTACTACTCCAAGAACACTGCTGCTTAATCTTCGGTGAGTCGTGTACGATAGTCTTATGAATGATTTTAGGACTGACTTGTTCCAAACGTTGCACACACTACGGCAACGCGTGGCGATATGATCGCGCTCAGTCGGTCGCGCTATTACGGGCTACTTGAAGGGACATTTCAATATTGAAACCTAAAAATAAAACAAAATCCTGAGTAGCCTTTTAAGACATATGCGGCAGGAGATGGATGGGTGGTGCTATTCTAGAGCACACAGCTAAACTACTTGGAATACCGTTCACTTCATTTCTTGACTAACAATGAAGTTTTGTAAGAACTATGTTATAATGCATAATGAGCGCTCCAGCATACGCTTAGTAAATCTAGTAAATCAGCAGAATCGCACGCTTAATCCAATTGGGGAGCTCACAACTATCGTAAATAAAATTACATTCAGCAGAAGCAGTCCAAATCATAGTAGACTACCGATAGTTCAATACGTACTGTTTCTCGGTCTTGAGGAGCGCGATGTCGTGGTACTTGGAGGGCGAGGCGTAGTCGGGGTGCGGGATGACCTGGGCGAGGGTGTGCCGCTGCCAGATCTCAGGAGGGTCGGAGCGCTTCAGGATACCGAGAGCTGCGTACTTCAAGGGTCCCCTGCGGACGACAGGGCGTGCTGTTTATTGGCGTCTAGTGTCTGTGTGTGCGTGTGCGTGGTAGCGTGGCGCCGGCGAGTGAACTGACAGGCGTGGCTCGGAGATGCAGTGCGCCGCCGTGAGGATGTACCGCGCGGAGAGCACCGACCCGCCGCACAGCCACTGCGCCTCCTCCGCGCTCGGTCCGAACCCCAGCAGCGCCTGCAGCACACGTGCACATCAGTACCCATGCGAACCTCTCCGACACGTGCACTGCCCTTACGATCTCTGCGGTGCATTACCATGAAGGGGAACTCCGCTCTTTCGGCGTCTTCACCGCCTACAGGTGACTGCGAACTAATACTAATTTTGTGACATTTCTTCTCCGAATCCCAAGCTTTGTTAAAATTAAACGTCACGGTACTAGTACAAAAATACTCAGGTATGTTCAGAACGTAATCGATACAAGCTGAAAAAAAAACAGACTTTAAATGTCATAAAAAAGCGTATTTCGTCTATCGGCTATCCAATAATAATAATATTGAGGAGTGAAAGGCTATTTCGTTTAAGCGACATTTCACTTATTTTTCTTCTTCTTCTTATCAGCCCATGGACGTCCACTGCTGGACATAGGCCTCCGCCAAGCCCCCGAGCCCAAGGTCCTGCGCTGCCTGCATCCAGCGGATCCCCGCGAACCTCAATAGATCGTCGGCCCATCTTGTGGGAGGCCTACCCACGCTACGTCTTCCAGTATTCCAGTACGCGGTCGCCACTCAAGAACTTTCTGGCCCCAACGGCCATCCGTTCTGCGAGCAATGTGTCCTGCCCACTGCCACTTCAATGTCGCAATCCTTTGGGCTATGTCGGTTACCATGGTTTTCCTGCGAATCTCCTCATTTCTGATTTGTTCTCGCAAGGCACAATTATGGCAAANTGACCTAGAGCCTTCTCATAAGGCCCATTGTGAGCGACCACGTCTCAGTGTCATACAATTATGGCAAAGCCCCCCCCCCCCCCCAACATGGCTGACACATTTCACTTAATGCGCGACAATTATATCTTTGTAATTAAAGGTGCGTTTTATTTATTATTAGCATCAATAGTGCGAACGATGTTTTAATTGAATTTCAATTATGCTTTACTGGTGGTACGACCTACGTGGGTGAGCCCGCGCGGGTAGGTACCACCGCCCTGCCTATTTCTGCCCTGAAGCAGTAATGCGTTTCAGTTTGAAGGGCGGGGCAGCCGTTGTAATTATACTGAGACCTTAGAACTCATACATCAAGGTGGATGGCGACATTTACTTAACATCAAATGGGCAGTGAGCTCGTCCACCGATCTATACAATAAAAACAAATTTGCAATTTTGTACGTAAAGATCTAATATAATTTGAATATTTACTTGTGTTGTGTGATGGGACACCGCTTCAGCACAATTCAGTTAGGCTTAAGGCCGCATGTACATACTTACATTACGATGTCTATGAGCTCTCAATGAATAAATATCTGAAGAAGATTGAAGTACTTCGCTATCCCTTCTTATCCTGTGAGCTAACATTGCTACTACCTGCTCGTGGAGTATTATATAGACAACATACAGTGTACATACCGTCCCAAGATTTTTTATTTGTTTTTTCGAGTCGGCTGTATCTCCTCGTCAGGTATATGTTACTGAAAGAACGTATATTTATTATTATTTTCATGGTTTACAGAAATACACAACCACAGCTAGGTAGTAAATATGTAAATCGGTTATTATCTCAAATATTTAAATTGCGTCATTTCCTATTGTAGCTTCGTGCACGTGTATCGTCTGATCGTTCAGTTAGTGTAATATGCAAAATGAACAACTCACTCGATGTTGTCCACGAGCTCACAGTCGGTGCAGCACACGATGGGCTCCTTGCCGCGCAGCCCGCACACCTGACGACACACACACACACACATCAGGTCAGGTACAGTAAGGGCCCGCAACAGCGACAACACGCACACGACGTGCTGCTACGTGGACCCAGGGACCGGGCATATCACAGACACACGCTCGTGGTACAGGCGTCACGTGGTACATTTGTACCACTGCAAGTCGCGGAGTTCTTCGCCGCGCCATTGTCAAATACCTTTGCCTACGTGAATAAGGCTATACACAGATGCACAGTTTTATTTGGGCAGTGGTTGCCCCTCTGGCATTAGGTACTGAAGCCTATGAGAGTGGATGATCACACACCATTAGGAGAGCCGGATGCTGAACTGCCTCCGTAGACAAAGACAATTAATACGTGCAGCAGTGAGCCCGCAATCCCGTAAATTGTGTTAGTTTCATTTTCTTTGCATACAAATAGTGGTATTTGCTGCAAGATTTCAAGATTTGAACCCTGCTACAGTCGCCGCATTTGCTACGACTATACTAAGCGGCTTCTTACCCACTAGGCTTTTGACATTTTTGGTAACAATCCATTAAACATATAAAACAGACAAACATATTATTATAAATACAGCATTCCATACATTTATAGCTCAAAACTAATAATACAAATTGCTATGTACATCTGGTGTACAGCAGTGCTACTGACCGGCGGGAACGATCTATCCCTGTAGTCCAGGATGAGCGTCTCGCAGCGCTTGCTAAGCACGCACGTGCCGTTGAACCGGCCGCGGACACACGGGGTCCCTGCGACACGACACGTGCTCACACACATAAACACATGCAAGGTAACACAAACACGCTACAGTAGGTATGTAAACGTAGAATCGGTGTTTTAAACTGACATTTTTTATTTTGTTTCGTGTTTAATTTTTTTCTATACTTCTAATTCACTATTCGTATCCGTAAAACTCGTTTAAAGTCATAATTTATGAAAGGAAATAAAAATAATTGTGAACGTTAGCAGTGTGTGACGTCAGCAGGGTGGTCACGTGTAACCGTGTAACAAACACATAACGAGCTTCATTGCAGACCAGTTTGATATGAATATAAGGATATAAAAAATAACTTATTTATTTATAATTTTTCATTGAGATCAGAAGATAACATGTCAGAGTCTAAGTGTAATAAGCAATATTAGTGCTATTCAACAAACAACTTACCTTCGACATCAGCCGCGGCAGCCCCGTGCCGGGCGGGCAGCAGCGCGCACAGCACCGCGCACAGCAGCGCGCACGACACGAGCGCGTCTCGAGACATGCTCGTGCGCGCACAGCGGCGTCTAAACAACACACGCACGGCGACCGCCGCGCCGGCGCCCCCTTACTTAGTACACCTCCCCTCATGGTAGCGCAGCCTCCGCTGAATCTAACTTCAACGAGAAGAGCCTCGACGTTTAAAAAACAGTAGGTACAAAATTGACGCGGAATTTCTTAAGGTCTAAAGAAGTTTTACGATTACTTCATTCTAATATAGGTAATATATGATATTCGGAAAGGACGATAATGTTGTTGCTGCATTATCGTCAGCACGTATGTACGTATGAATCTTGGTATAAATACAAATTATAAAATATGCACTCTACGTACAGAATCTAGTTGAGACTTGACAACATTTGAGGGCAAATCTAGACCATTATCTGTGATAGGTGCGAGTGATAACGATCCAACCAACATTTGAAAATATCGAATTCTTGGAGAACATTTAATTATATTTCCTATTTTTTGGATTTTCTGTGGTGGTATATGTGATAAATCTTTTTTATTTTAAGATATTGTAGATAACATCTTTAATAATAAACTTTTAGTAATGTTGGCGTCGGCAGGAAGCAATCAGCTCTTTGGCCTCCATTTCAAGGTTTTAAAAAACCTAGAAATTACATCATCCAAATTCATCTGTTCGTTATGATGCCAAGGCTCTATGTATCCGAGTCGTTATACCAGAGTATGTGAAGCCGAAAACTGTAGATAGTGTTTTATTAGAACCATCGCATCGGTCCGTTTGTGTTTGAGCATTTCGCTTCCGTAAGAGTTACAGTGTACTGCGACCGATGCATTATTGCGGACAGAAGTACAATCACTATTAGGTTTAATATGACTTTAATATCCTGGCCTTTTCATTTTTCATTATTATTATTATTTTTTAATTGTATTTTTTGACTTGTTTTTTCCTTTATTGTAAATATTTTTATTTATTTAAAAAAAAGAAAATATTTGAGAAAAAACAAAAAGAAAAACCCGCTGAGTTTCTTTCGCCGGTTCTTCTGAGGACTGTGGCTTTTTTTGGAACCGGTGGTACAGTTAACATTGTTATTTATATTTTGAAATTCAACAAGTGTGTCATACTGACATCTAAGTTGAAATAAATGATTTTGAATTTGAATTTGAATATTACGATTATATGTAGGTCGGTCTGCGTGTGGAGCTACGTCGGTTATTGTCACCATCCCTAGTGACTACAACCTCGTGTAGGCAAAAAGAATAACTTTTTAAAAGATTGGTTCTTTACCTACGAAATTAAAATATTTTTATCGTTTTTTTTACATATGTATATCTATATATCAAATCCCATAACCCATGGTATCGATGCATCTCTGCCAGTGCAGCAGATATGCGGCCTTAAGTCTAATTGAATTGTGCTGAAGCTGTGTCCCATCACAAGTCAATATTTTAAGGCTCTTCTTGAAGAAGTCCGGTGTACGGGAGCCAACATACTCTTCTAAGGACAAAATGCCTTAGAACTTAGGTTGTACTGCCTCTCTGTTTTTTCGTGCCAAAAAGTTGGCCAAACTTTGAAAATAGTAGAAGTCTGCCGGCGCAAGGTCTGGTGAGCACGGTGGCTAACGTAAAAGTGCCAACCCTACTAGCTCTTGTAGCTTAGAGACCGTCTATTTATAAATAAATACATAATAAATGAAATGAAACGAAACGAACATCAGCTTTAATAAAAATGACATGCTCTGTGTAATGACCGCGTCAGGTATCAGGCAGTGCCTGTATTGGGATTAAAGCGCACAATGAACCACCGCTCAACTATCTATATTATGAATAATTTGATCATTATCAGGTGGGTCAGTCTAGTCAGTGAGTATATAATAATACAAAGAACCAAGAACACACTTTGACGTTGCTTCATTAAATTCAGTATCTAGTTAAGTAAACATAATTTTGTAGATAGGCTGCTCAAGATTATCAGAGCTCCTTTATGTTAAGGGCCCGCTCTTTCTGATAAGACCATTTTATCAACCAAGGTTTTTTAAGAAATGTTAGTGTCGTACATTTAGAGGTGAGCTCAGAGCGACCTCATGTCAACCAACCGACGACCGGAACCCATAGACAACAACCCCAACCTTTTTAAAGTGAAACTTCTTTAGAATCGTTGTGGTTTCAAACTCGATGAAACGAAATGAAAGGAAACGAAAAAATAAGTCCATAGAGACACAAACACATAAATGTATAGGATTCAGCCGGCGAGAGAATGAGATAGAACATTATACGTGAAGTTAAAATATCAATTCCCAGAGGGCGCTACCTCATACTATAAAAGATGATTTACAATTAACTCTTTCTACTTAGTTTGATATCAACAGTGGTTACTGCACGTAAATTCAACAATTCCTGAATCGCAGTGACGAGATGTTACACAGTTGATACTTGCACACACACACTTTTTTTTAAAAAGATATTACTGCTCGGTTAACTACTGTATCAAGAAAACACTGGGCAAAAATCAATAATACACAAAATGTTGTTCCAAATTTATTTTATCACCTTGAATGTATGCTCCTGTAGAAACGATACGATTACAATGAGTAGTGAGAAAGTGAGAATTGAGTTAAATAGTTTGATAGTCAAAGAAAACAGTCAACATGACTTTGAGCTTTGATCGACTCTTGCGTGATTTTTTCGGACTCAGTTCAGTAAAGATAGCTAGTTTGCATAACAAACTCTTAAACTCCGCGCTAAAATGGTGAATAGTTAGAATATAATTAATGTATTCCCCTGTGTATTAACCTCATTTGCCTCCAAGCCGAATGATCCTTGTGGGGGATAAAAACCATAACCCTCCAACAGCACAGAGAAACATCTACAAAGACACAAAAATATACGTCGCAGCCCTTAACGTACTCATGCTGAACAATGAAGGAATTAACTAACGCGTTAAAACAAATTCAATGGATGATCGTCGGCCTCAGTGAAATAAAGCGAATGGGTGAGAGAATTATTTCTCAACCATACTGGAACGACGCCAGGACACCATGGCGTTGGTTTCATTGTCAAAATATATCTTGAAAAATCTATAGAAGAATTTATGGGGATCTCGTATCGCATAGCAATGATAAATTTCAAATAACCGGAATATAAAGATTCCTGGTCTATTGTACAAATATATTCACCAGCAGAACAATCGGACCTGGAAACAATTGAGGAATTCTACCTTGGCTTAAATAACACGATCCAAGAACATACCCACAAAAACTAAATCGTCATGGGAGACTTCGATGGCCAAATTAAAGGTATGTGCCCAGGAGAAGAGACAGTACTAGGATCATTCAACTTATAAATTTCAAACCAGAAAATAAGTAAACCATTTTAAGCTCAGTATACAAAAATAAACAACGAAAAAGTGGACATGGATTTCACCAGATGGGAAAACAAAGAATGAAATCGATTTTATAATGACTAATACAAACACGTGCTTTACATTTTTTTTCTTTATTGCCCTTGTAGGCAGACGAGCGCACGGCCCACCTGTTGGTGAGTGGTTACCGTCGCCCATGGACTTCAGCAATGCCAGGGGCAGAGCCAAGCCGCCGCCTACTAATTTTGACTTCATTAACAAATTTAACTTCAATACGAACCACAAACTAATCAGAGCTGAAATAAAATCAGTACAACCAAAGAAACCCAGACCGAGACAGGAACTAACAGGAATTTTGTAGTCGTCGTGGCCTAAAGGATAAGACGTCCGGTGCATACGTGTTGAACGATGCACCGATGTTCGAATCTCAAGCGGGCTCTAATTTTTCTAATGAAATACGTACTCAAAAAATGTTCACGATTGACTTCCACGGTGAAGGAATAATGACATCGTGTAATAAAAATCAAACCCGCAAAATTATAATTTGCGTAATTACTGGTGGTAAAACCTCTTGTGGGTCCACAAGAGTAGGTACCACCACCCTGCCTATTTCTGCCGTGAAGCAGTAATGCGTTTCGGTTTAAAGGGTGGAACAGCCGTTGTAACTATACTGAGACCTCTCATACATAGTAGATGGCGGCATTTACGTTGTAGATGTCTATAAGCTCCAGTAACCACTTAACAACAGGTGGGCTGTGAGCTTGTCCACCCATCTAAGCAATAAAAAAAAAACAAAATGTGTGCAATTCACACGTGGTAGAAGTGAAACCTTCCAAAATTTAAATACAATTATCCTAAACGTCTTAAGTATATGTAAAATTTTGTCATTAGTAAATAATTGTATGCGCCCTCTGTGAATTGATATTTTAATTTCACGTATAATCCTAAATTAAAATTCACTACAAGAGCTTTCATACACACGTTAGTATTAAAAAATCTCACAGATGGCGCTGTATTAAATAGTATGTATATTTCTGTCTCATTCTTTGCTGGCTTCATCCTACACATTTTTGTATTTGTGTCTCTTACCTGTCGTTTTTTCCGTTGCANCTCACAGATGGCGCTGTATTAAATAGTATGTATATTTCTGTCTCATTCTTTGCTGGCTTCATCCTACACATTTTTGTATTTGTGTCTCTTACCTGTCGTTTTTTCCGTTGCATCCGGTTTGAAATCACAACGATTCTAAAGAAGTTTTCACTTCAAAAAAACAATCGGTAAGCTCAGCAAGCATGAGAATTGAATGGCATAACTCGTAGCCACCCTGAGAGATAAATTCACAGACTTCAAAGAAAACACAAAGACCGTGGGCGTGGAAGAGAAGAGATCCACAGAAAACAAGTAAAATTCAAATAAGAGACTAGATTAAAGTTTACATCGTTTAATCATATATTTGTAATATGGATCTGAATAAAAAGGCTATTCAATTCGTGTATTATGGAGCGAACGTCACCTGATGTCGTGTGAGAACGCGCGTGTAACAACCGCGCGGCTCCATAGTCTTAACGATTCCCACGCTGAGCGTGTACGGCGTCACGTAACCGTCACGTAACCGTCACGTGATCACTTCTGCACCAATACAACGCGCATCGTCAACATGATACCACTGCCCACGGCATCCTATTACTGAAATTTTCCATATTCCCGTAAGTAGAACA